ACATGTATTCGAGTATAACGTCAATATGATTTAATTGTATTTCCCTTATTTTTAAATTATATTGCAGGTATAATTAAAAAAAAATACTATAAGAAACACGTGTATAATTGGTCTTTAAATCACTTGCAACGTTTAAAGGCACTCCGCTTCGCGCCATTAAACTCGTTGCGCGTGTTTTTTTAAAGACTTGATTATACACTTGTCTCTTAATATATTATTGTGTTAGTAAGTATTTGAAGAACAGAAATGATTAAAAGCAAGACCTAATAAGCAACATTTTCTATGGTCGGCGCGTCACTGATGAATGCCAACTTTTTGATAGATTCTAAGTATACAGTGCATGTTATTACCACAGGTGATAGAAAATATACCCTAACATCAAACACAGATTTACATGTCAATGAGCACTATCGGTTAATTATGTCAGATTTTCGATTACGCGTGCTTTTGAACCGGATATTGTCGCCGGTGTGAATTGATGAGAAATATTTTTGTGGTTGTCGTTCAGCGGTTTACATTAAAACAAAAGGGTTCAACTTTAAACTGCTAGAAAGTACCTAACTGGCTTTCCTGGTTGAAAAAACCAAAAATGTCTACCACAGGAAGAGCGTTCCACAGGAAGCAACCCTCTTTATTAAAGGCGACAATGGTAACAACCAACCACGTTCTAAAAGTAGGTATTGTGGCAATTAAAACTCGACAATGGCTTTGAATATAATTATTCCTTTGAAGTGTGCTTAATTGCCGAGTTTTGCGGTTAAGAGACATTCACTGATATAAAATACGCACATTACATATAGTTTGCTGTAGCACATATGATGTGCCACCTAGATTAATGAAGATATGTACTTCACAACATTTATTAAGCTATAGTAATTAGACATACTTCTCCGTCATTTAGCTTGAAACCTAATGATGCAATTTGTATTACCTTCCAACCCACTTTCCTATATAAAAACAATTCCCCGCAGACTTACGAGAACAAATCAGTGCCGTGGGAGTATTATGGTTTCCCAAAATATATGATAAAAGGGCGTTACTCTCTTTATAACGAGCGCATCGAGGCGAACTGAAACTGTAAATTTAAATTTCGTTATCAGATTGACGTAACTTCTGACGAAATTGGCCAGTTTTACTTTATCGGACAGAATGGAAGCGAAATAGTTACTTCGGGCTGATTCGAATATTTTGCGGACCAAACGCGTACAAATTGAATTTATAGGGCCCTCGAGAGAACTGTAAGTGTGATTAAGAAATTAGGAAATTTTGTAACGGAGAAAGTTTAATTATGTTTTTGTAATGAAAGGTGTATTCGGAATAAAAATACAATTCTTGATGGTAGATGAGACTGTTGAGCGAATTGAGCTATTCGGAGTAATAATGGCGTTTTTTAGTCGTTCTTTTGTCATTTGAACTTTGGTTTACATTATACTGAGTGAATTTGTTATGTGGACAAGGTGGTTAGGCTATAAAAATGAAAAATAAATTTGCATTACGTTACATACAACAGAAAAGCACCTCGCGGCTCGCGCATCGATTTTTGTATTTTTTTCCCAGTTTGATGGGTCGAAATAATTAAGGTTGTTAATATTTTACTGCATAATTCGTTCGAGGCGAAAACTTATAGGCAAATTCTGAACAATTTCAAATAATGTTCATTACAGTAACTCCTATCATCTTCGACTTGCCGGCGACAGCTAACTCCACTCCCTTTCTTCTCCAATATCTCTCCTTTCTTCTCAGCATTTCCCTCATTTGTTCTACCTCTGTTGTCAATATTATTGTGTCGTCCGCGTATGCCAGGGACCATATCTCCCTTCTTCCCAATACGATCCCTCCACTTTGACCCTATATCTTAATATTTCTTTCATGTTGTATCTCGTAGAAATTAAAATAATGTTGGCCTAAGTGGGAATCTTTGTCTCGGTCCTTTAATGTCCAGAACCATTTCAGGCTCCTTTCATTCTTCCTTCTTTTCCTTGATTCAGCCCTTTAGCTTCTTGTCTATTTTTCCCATTTCCATCCCATACGTTTTCCCGTTCCACTCTGTCAAAAGCTGCCTTTAGATCCTCATTTCCTATATCATCCTTCCCTTCCGACTTCCCTTTCTTCAATTTCTTTAATTACTGCTCAATTTCTTCTCTTGATTTCTCGTCTACTTCGCCCTCTCTTTCTATCTCTTCTATCACGTCCTCTTTCCCCCGCTTTCCTTGTAACCTTAATGAAGTGTTGTTTCCAGTCCTCTATTTGGATTTCCTGTTTTTATATCCATGATTTGTTCTTTGTATTCTTTCTGTTTCTTCTATTTCTTCCGGAATTTTTTCATTTCCATATACAGGGCCCGAACAACAAAGGGTGCAGTTTTGAACGGCGACTACATTCGCTGTACTGAGGAGAGGAACATTGGAGTTGGAGGGGACTCGTTCTGTTCGGTCACTCATCCATTTCATAGAGTAATTAATATATATTTACTCTATGTCCATTTTCAGTCGTAGCTATGCTTTGGAGAGAAGAGCATCGCGCCTTAAGGTTCTACAATGTTCCGTTGCCGAGATACAGATCGATACATAAACGGCGATCTTTTAATGAAATTCATAAATTAACTACTGCAATTACCTTCAGTCGTTGAGTGAATTACTTTTCACTCAACGCTTCAGTACGAACTTGCTGTAATCCCGAAGGCTATATACGGGATCCCTAGGATCTAGATATCGGTCGATTTAAAATCCGCCCGACCGAACGGACAAACGGCCGTTTTGTGTGATTTGACAGATCGGTATGCAGGAATAACACGATAGTACAAATATAATGCGGAAAGCCCGAAAGTTCTACGATATTCCGTTATCGACAGTTATTGAAACTGCTTTTTAAGAATCAAAAATGCGCTAAAAATATGGTTCGAGTCGCCCATATCAAAACCACAGTCACATACTGGAGAGTCCACAACACTAACTCTATAGATATGAGATGGAAACCTTCCATGTTAGCATTTAAGGCCTGAATGCAGGTAGTCCGTTCCTCTTGATATTAAATTTTAGCAGATTCTAACTATTGACGGTTTTCTTTTTTGGAAATTTAACCTTCATCCCCGTCCATCTAACACACTCAGAAATCACCTTGCGCTATGTTTACGATTTGTTAAAGGTTGGCTAATCACATCCAAGATGATTTGTGCTGAGAACCAACTTTTTTATCAATTGTAATAAGTTTTAACTGCAGATTTTTTATTTGAAGTAAATAGATCTATTCAAACGTGGAGTGAGAATGTTGTACTCGTTTTCTTTAAAATGATGTTGAATTATTGATTTTCATAGATAAAGCAGGCTACGTTTGGTTTCGGTGTTTGTTAAGTTGATCACAAGTTTACTTAAATCAACATATTTGTAAAGTTATTTCCCCTCGAGACTGTTTGTAAAATAGGTAAGAGCAGCAATAGTCGATGTTATTACTATCAGTTTAACGTTTAATTAAATTCAGATAATCGCGTTATGCAGAGCTACTAACAAGGGAGATACAGTTGAATAGGAAAGATATTTTTGCTGAAACCTCCATTATTTATTATTCAGCGCGTGTCATCATAAATGTGACGTTTTACTTCAATTATTTTCCATGTCCGTCCGTCGGTTATTCAAACTATTGTTTTCGTCTAACTAATCTATACCTTTCCAAGCGATTTACCACGGCACACTTAGCACTTTTATATCTATGACAATAAAAGTCGATTCTCACGTGCGCTACTGGCAGATGGGGAGGTTCGGGACACTCTGTTGTCCATGAAATGAGAAATCACTCCAAAGGCGCACTAATTATTCGGAATCAACGGGTTCAGAATGGCGAAGGCCAGAGGAAACCACTCCATTAAAGACCTAACGGTATCCTTTGAGAAGTGCCAGAGAAAGATGAAGAGAAATATGGATTCATCGGGTACCTATTACAGTTTCCGGAGTTAAAATAGTCCCCAACTCGGATCTCCGGTGCGAACAGTTTCTGAAGAGTGCATTGAGGAGAATGAAAAGGGTAATTGAGTATGGGAGAAATCTGCTAAAGGAGGAAAAGCTTGAAAATCTACGTTTAGAAATAATTAAAAACAGACTGGATTTGATTGGAGTAAGTGAAACAGGGTGGAAGGCAAAGGACAGGAAAATTGTGATGATGAAAAGTTAATTTACAGTGGTAAAAAAAGAGTATAGGATTCATTGTCAGCAAGGAACATTTCAGGTGTAAAACCAAAGTAATTTATGGCTGTGATAGAGTTATGGCTCTAAACTCTAAAGCTTAACGCTGTTCCAAGGGAAATGTTAGTGATTCAAGTGTACAACTCCTCTGTGTAATTGTGCGGTGTCTCTAGCTGAAAGTTCAATTCCAACAGCAATTTCTATTGCTTTGTCCATTGTAAGGTCCTTTGTTTCAAGAAGTCTATTTTGTATTTTCTCACTCCGCATGCCAAACACGAATTGGTTTCTCAGAGCCTTCTTTTGGTAATCTCCAAAGTTGCAATGAATTGCTAACTTCTGCAAAGCAGTGTAGAATTCCTGAATACCTTCGCCCTCGTGCTGTTTGCGTTGATGGAATCTAAAATTTTCTGCAATTTCCAAAGGAACAGGACTGTAGTAAGTAAACTACGTTTCAATATTGATCAAAAAGAATTCACCATACAACAAGAATGTATTTTGCGAGGTCAAAGAGTAATAATACCTAAAATTTTACAAAAACAAATTTTAGACGAGTTACACTCTGCACATTTTGGTATTTACAAAATGAAAGGTTTAGCCCGTAGTTATTGCTGGTGGCCTGATATAGACAACGATATTGAAACGTTAGTAAAGAATTGCAATAAAATTAAGCATACATCTACAGTAGTACCAGTACATTCATGAGAAAGTGTAAATAAACCATTTCATCGTGTACATGTCGACTATGCAGGTCCATTTTATGGTCATTATTATTTTATTTTAGTTGATGCGTATTCACGATGGCCCGAAGTTTATGTTACAAAAGATATGACTGCCAATACAACCATAAAAATATGCCGTGAAATATTTAGTCGTTTTGGCATACCACGTGTACTGGTGAGTGATAATGGCAGGAATTTTGTATCTTACGCTTTTGAAAGTTTTCTTAAACAAAACGGAATTAAACATAGTTTAAGTGCGCCATACCATCCTGCGACAAATGGGTTGGCAGAACGATATGTTCAAACATTAAAGCAATCATTACGCGCAATTAACGGTAATAGTTCTGATGTTGAAAAAGAATTATGTAGATTACTTTTACAATATCGCAAAATGTCTCATAGTATTACCAAACAATCACCTTCAATGTTAATGTTCGGACGTGAAATTACATCCCGATTGGATTTAATTAAACCCGATTTAAATAAAAATGCTACTGCAATTCGTAATAATATACCAGTTCGAGATTTCCAAATTAATGACAGAGTTGCTGTAAGAAACTATGCAAACGATATCAAATGGAAATTTGGAAATGTTGATAAAAAGTTAGGGAAATTACACTATCATGTTAAGCTTGATAATGGTAATGTTTGGAAGAGACACGTTGATCAGTTACGCAGAGTTGGGGTCCTTGGGGATGCTACTCCGCGAGACTCTCCTCAAAATGATGATATTCCTTATGACCCCTCTAACAATCATTCTGATGTTACAACCTTACCCGAAACTTTACCTGATCCAGAAATAAATACACCTACGTTGGACATAACGGCCAGTGTACCTACAAATGAAGAGAATACTTTACCGCAGCTACGCCGTTCTAACCGCGTACGTCGTCCTCCGGATCGTTTAAATTTATAAGTTGGGGAGGAGTTGTTGTGTTTACATTCGGAACTTATGCGATTTTATAATTTAATTTAAAAAATAGCATGTGTATATAAACAATTTAAAAAATAACTTCAATATAAATAAAACTTGTCTTGTCATACAATTTCCTTTAACCGTTTAATTCCTACAAATACAATACAACCAATGACCATGAGGATGAGAGAAAGTAAAAGAAGTATACCCAAGGATAGAAAGTATAACCGCGCGAGGAAAAAGGAGGTGGTTGTTGTGAGATCGCAATGGGCGATTGGAATGCAGTGGCGGGAAATGGAAACGATGGGAACGTGGTTGGCGCTAGAATATGTGAACAACATAGAATACCTTCCGGCAGAATAAACATAAACAAAAGCAATGTCTACATCCTTGGAGTAACAATATTAAACAAACTTCAACTTGAAATAAAAACCGCTATAACATTCTCTATTTTCAAGCGAAAATAAAAAAAGTATCTTCTTTGTAAAAATTATTATGAAATTAGTGAATACTTAACTTCTAAGTTGTCTTGTGATCTTTGTTAGTACATATTTAGAAAATCGGACTGCGATCAAGAAATTGAGTCAACTAAAAAGAATATACTGTGATAATTTTATCATTAATTGTTTGTTATTAATCTTATTATTTGTTTGTTGATATACCTTGTGACTTATCTTATCCATGTAAATGGCCAAAAAGATTAAATATGGACTTGGAAAGAGAAATGATAGATGCGTGCGTATGTGGTTGAGTTCTGCAAAGAAACAAAAATGGGAATGGAAAAGTACTGAAAGAAGAGAGAAAAATTCTAAGTCAATGGAAAGAGTATAGGTATGGTAGATCTCAAACACATGAAAATCAAGTCAATTGGAACTGGAAACAGAAGAAACAGTCTGTTGTGGCCATATGGGAGCCAGCATTATATGTTTACCGCAGTAGAAAAAACAATGAAAGTTACTAAATCAGGTAAAGCTACGGGGGTAAATGGAATTCCAGTAGATATTATGGGGTCCGCAGGAAGAAGGAATGAAGCAAGTAACATCTCTATCTAATGTTTTATACAAATCAGGGGAATGGCCTGAAGATTTTCTGAGGACTCTGATGTTACCTTTGGCTGAAAAGTGAAAAGAAAGAAACAAAAAAGTGTGATGAACATAGAACACTCAGCCTGGTTAGGGCATGCAGCGAAAATATTGTTGAGTGTTAAATAGAAAGCTAGAGAGGACAATGGAAGAAAATGTGGCAGAAGAGCAATTCGGATTTAGAAGAGGGATGGGAGCAAGAGATGTGATTGGATGTGTAAAAATAAACAGGTGAAAGATATATGAAAAAATGAAGGACTCTGAGTTGGTGTTTCGTTGACCTGGTAAAGGCATTTGATTGTGTTCTTTGGGAAAAATTGATGGACATTTTAAAAGAAAAACGTGTAGATTGGAAGGATAAAAGGTGGAACCAGAACGGATTGGTTTGAACTTTGTAAGGGCGTGAGGCAGGGCTTTATCATCGACACTATTTAATATTTACGCTGAGTACATGACTTCAGAGTGTTGGAAAGGTGATAAGGGCCTAAATATTGAAAGAAGAAGAGTATCTCCATTCGGTTTACTCATGACACTCATGTTTGCAGAAAATAAAGAAGATCTAAAAGTATTAATTAAATCTGTCACTTTACCGACCGCACATGTCACACTGCATTACTGACAGAGTGACATTAATCAAAAGTTCTAATTAAAACAAGATTTCTGGTAAAACTTAAACCAAACTCGTCAGTAAAATGACACTACTTGACTCGGAAATAACTCGACCCCAAGTGGGCCTCGTACTTTAACATTTCCTCGCTAGTAATGTGTCATTTTCCTGACTTTTATGTATAACTAATTTTGTTCGCGACTACCCTCTCATATACAGATTATTCAATTTGAACGACTTTTGTAATAGGGTACATTAATCAATGAAATTACATTATAAACACTTTTAACGTGTATAATGTTACATTATTCACCCAAAGCAAGGGTTCTCATTGGCTAATTATTAAATTCATCATCTAGAAGGACATGATCTGTGATCTATCAAAATTACAAATAATTTGTCAGTTGCCGCGTGCAAGTCGAAATTGACTCGTTGCTTTCTACGTTTAAAGAAGACGATATTACGTTAACTCCACCCGAAATTCGACTAGCAGCGGATGTAGTCGCAGCAAACTTGCTTCCAGAAATATCTCGTAAGTTTTATGTGATGGAATATGAGGCATTTACAATATTGAAAGCTGAAAAATAGGTAATATTTTCATCAGAATCGGTACTGCTAGTTTATTTTACCGAATTAGCTCAGAAATATAAACTCAAGTCATTGGACAGTATATTATATGCTGAGGGGCACATTAATTTTCCATGAAAATGTAGATATTTAAAAATATACTAGATTATTGGTCTTTTTATTGACTGTTGAAAATGAATATAAAATGAAAGTGAGGTTGGAAAGAGTATATATACAAAAACACATACTTCTACCAGTAAAGATAACTAAATACTTGTTCTAAATTGCATGATGTGTTCTTCTATCGATGACGTTCAACTCTTGGTACTGTTATACTGAAAGACCTGCAGTCGTGAACAAAGTATAGTATAAAACTCGCATATAAAATGGCAAAATCACTCGAAATATTTACTCCACTCGCCTTTAGTGTCGTTCCGTAAACTTCGTTCTCGTGATTAATAGACTACATTCTATGCTCGTTGTATAATATTATATGTCTATTTAAACCGTATAGGCAATAAGGCCATAGAAAGAGAAACAATTCATAGCTGGATAAGTGTTTGTTTTCATGGCCTATACTAACTGAAGAATTCGAAAATAAAAAGGATCATAACATAAATAGGACATGGGAAAATCTCACACCTCTGTAAAAATGCAAACTTCTAGCTAACTTCCATAATATTGATATGGTCATTTTACATTACTACACACTTGAAATAACATGCACGAACTCGTATTACGTATCTGCCTTAGGGAACCTATGTATATTAATACAAAATGTAACGGACAGATGGAAAAGCTACTTAGAACTTAGGTATAAGGTTTAGGTACTACTTCTAAATAGAACTTCTGTGCACGTATTTGGTAATTAGACTGCATATTGAAATATATTGACACGGCACTAGCATAGTTACAAAATTTGCATACGTTTGTGAATGAATGTAGGCGAAAATTTACAGATAAGGGAGGATTAGAACTTTCACACGTACCACACCACTTGTTGAAACTTTGCTCACTAAAGTCAATTAGGTAAAATGTTGATGAACGTAGGCCGTCCTCTGGTTATTTTTTCTCATTTCAAATTAAACTTTTTTTATAAATTAACAGATAATTTGGAGCTTCTGCCGTTGGATATTCCGGTGTGTAACTGTATAAGTTTTTCCTTATAATTGTGATCACATATATCTTAGTATTTGTAAATTCATTTTCCCTATAGCTATAACGAAGGATCGGTAGGTAGACAAACAGTAATTAATATTTTACGGTAACTGTCCATAAAACAAATCTGCAAAATGTGAACGCAGTCTGCAACAGTTTCTTTGGGTATAGTTTAACAAATTGAGGCTATTTCAACGGTGGCTTTTTAAACTGCGTTCTAGAGAAACACAGAGTAAACCTAGGAGTAAACTTTTTAGCGTGATTATTTTACTTCGCTGTTTTTCTTTTATCCAAACGGAAAGTATAAACCACTTTAGGTGTACACGATTTATACCATTCCGCAAAAGTAATTAGAAAATTAGCGTGTACAAAACGCACTCGAAATCATTTCAACTGATTCTCAATGAATTCCTGGGAGAACCGCATTGAAACTTTTTTTTAAACATTTTAAAACTCGACATACAAATTGAAGTTCAGAAGCTGTATAATTGGGAGTTCTGAGCGCAATTCTTTGACTTGTCACTCGTAATTTAACACCAAAACTTTTACAAAATGTAAGGTTTTAACTGCAGATTTAAAAAAAATTGAAGCAGTCACAGTTTTGATTAGGTATCTGCTTCCCACGCTTTTCATAGAAAGTCGGATTTTGATCATATCAAATTTATTTGCACAAGGGCCCAACATAATTAAATGACCCCACCTAAAACAATGTATAGAAAATGTTTTTTTAATTAAATATGAGGGGGTTTTATTTGATAACTGCCTAGCAAAAATTTAATCGTCCAGCGTTTTGTACTCGAGTTGAAAAACTCAACTTTCTTCTCTAGTTGTACAAAAAACTCTTCATGCAGGTTCACGTATGATACGAGAGATTATTGAATTTTCAACTCGATTTTCTTGCATGTATATTTATACAAACTGATAGAAAAATCTCTGTTTCCTTGAGAATGATGAAATTTTTGGTTATAATTAAACGCAGAGCCAACGCGTTCTGCTTGATATCGCATTTATTTAAAAGTGTGCAGGAAAATATTATCTATTACCTATTGAATTCGATATTTATCGCGCTTATCTTCCTATAGACTTTGTCGTGGTACCATAGTCAAGTAACTATTGTTGATATACCTAATCAGTTGTTGAGCTGTACTCCACATAAGAGGTGAATTTGTCTTCAGTGTGTCTTTAAATTTAGTATGTTTTGAGAATATTGCGCTTCCGTAATGGATGAGCTACTTAACGTTGATAAAGAACTCTTCAATAAGTTTTTGAATTTTCTGAAGTTGTACGATCCATTTCAAATCGATGCAAGAACCGCTTTCGACTTCTTCGGCTTTTATGTTTCAATAGAGAAGATCAAAATCGAAGGTTTTTCGAACGTTTTAACAGATATATCCATTAATCCCGGTTTACCAAGAAGCACCTTAACTTTTGAATTACGTTTACCAAAAATATCCGGCTATATCAAATCGTACGCAAGTAATGTACCTTTCATTTACGGAAGGTGTAATGGAAGGTGAGATTCATTGTTCAGGTCATTTATGCGCTTAAGCAGTTTGGTTTTAGGTTCCACTTGAAAAACATGAAGCTTAATGTTTTAGTTGTTTACAACTTGTTCGAGGGTCTATTGCCCATTTCAGTAACGACATCCGTTAAAATGGCACAGGTAGATATCAAAATGTCAGGTGGGTTTATGTAATCTGTTTTGTCTTCTAGGTGATAATTACCGGATTTAATGGCAATGAAGAATTAAGTACGAGCCTAAGTAGAAAGATAAGCGAGTTCTTGAAGAACGTCATAAATAGCTCACAGACGCACGAAATCATTGAAAGCTTTATTAATGGTGTTGTTACAGGATTCATGAAAGCAAAGGATCCTATACCTACGCTTAATATATAACTAAATGTAATCTACTGCCTAGGTGTAATGGTGTAACCATAGCATATTGTCTCAAGAAACGTAAAAAAAAAACATATGGTTGCATGGTTTTAACTTTTTTTAAATATGATATTAGTGTCTTTATATAATTTTATTCGCATAAGAAAATAACGCATTTTTATATTATAAGCTGTTGTCTGTCTGTTGTATTTCTAATGTTAAAATTAAAACGCGCGATGATGATGTTTTCGATAAAAAGAAATGGCAAAACATATCTTGCTTATAGAATAAACATCCAAATAAAAGAAGTTATAATGACGCGGTGTGTTGAAAAGTTCTCTAGCTGTAGTATTTAATAAACAGGAAACAACAACAGAAGTTAACGCCGAAAAGGTTGAAAACCACACGTAGACAAAGGCTCTGGGGATTCATCTGATCCGTGTAGTATATGGTGAAACACAAGTACCTTGTAATTCGCATTACTTAAGTGTTTTCTTTGAAAGCTTTGAAAGCTACAAAAATGTAAGGTAGATTTAGCTAGTGGTATCTGTGAAAACTTTGATCACAGTTCCCGTCCAATACAAACAGTTTGCTCTAATATAGTATTATCGTTAACAGTTCATCTTGGATACTTGAACTACATTAAAACTGAATGGAATTTTACGGCTAATATAACGACACATTTGGAAACTTAGTTAATTTTGTTTCAATGGAACTTTTTCGAAACATCATAAACGCACATTTTTACTGTGCGAAATATAAGAAATTAAAACATAAAAAAACGACATGTTTCGCGCGTTTGTGTGTGCGATGTAAAAAATTACTTCCATTTTTATGTTAACACTGTCCATTCTCTCTAGTATAACTTTATCGCTTTGCGAACAGCGAATTAAAAGAAAGTGGCATTAACTTCCGATTACGCCAGTAAGTTTCATTCAGTACCTCTGTGCATCACCTTTCGCATGGTATCAAAAATTGCGCGTTTAAAAGTAAATCCTAGGGGAATTAATCTAATTGGTTTTTCCCTCACAAATGTAGCAATGAAAATATCCCATCTCCAATAATTTGATTTACGACGTTCTTCGAAAAGATTTATAAGTCGTTTGATGTTAACATTTAACAGACGAAACCGCCAACACACCCTAAACGTTGTCTGTAGGTAATATTTCACACTTTCATAAACGGGGGTAGGGTTACAATCAAACATCATCAGGTATTAAAATATGACTTTTCAATGGTTTCACCTCGCCATATACTGAGCAAAGTCTACCTGTTTTTTGTATTGTTCAGAAACCTAATACAAGAAGAACATAATTTTTAATGTGGTTTAACTTCAAAAGCATTTTTCAATAATATCCAAGCAATCCGATAATTTGATGAAATATTTCGCTAAACAATTCGGCCGCTTTTGTGCCCGATTTACCTGACGCTCCTATAACGTATGTCTATGTCAAATACATAAAAAGTAAGAAGGCCTTATCAATGCCTTTATTAGTCCCACGTAGCAAATTTCTATTGTAAAAGTAAGAATTCTTCTGAACATTTACTTTCGAATTTCCAAACGTTTCCTTTTCCTTTATTTCAATTTTATTACAATTAATTTTTCATTCGATTTACATTCTCTTCATTTTCTTACTTCAAAGGAAATTTTCAAATATTTTCTACTTCTTTTTTCTACATATCATTCGAATTGTTTATCCACCTACAATTCACACTACAATTCTTTTCAATGTAATTATTCTGATTTCATGTGTTATTATGACCAAATTGTTTGAGCAGAGAAATAATTAGGTACGCCTTGCAGCACTGATTAACGTACACGTTAACTGAATTTGATTGAATAAGAAAAGATTCAAGAAAGGGAGCAATAGCAAAGCCCGCTGAAGACGTTTTGCGTGTGGAGGTTATAATAATGTTCAAAATTATTATAACCGCATACGATTTTCAGTATTTTAAGTATGTAATTTCTCTGAAAATTAAGGAAAGTGCAATTATTCATTGCAGACAACCTGACTAAACAAAAAAATTTAAAATTAAAGCGTCAAAGTAACTGCACTTCCGCATTTCTCTTAAAATTAAACAGTTATTTGTTTGTAATGCAAACTTCATTTAAATAACAGTTTATAAATCTTATAATTAATATAAAAAGTTTTTACTATTAATTAAATCAATCCGAGTGAATTAGAAGAAAGAAAATCGCATTCACACTTTTCTGTAAAGAGTACAATATCATTTTGATTGGGGTATAAAATGATTTTAATTGTTTTGGGAGGGGAGAGGCGGCGATTTCGAGGGTCCCGTAGGCGCAAAATAAGTAGATCCGGCCCTGTCTAGGGTTTTTTCCTCTCCAAATTAATCTAAATTTTACTTGTGTATTTTTATTTTTTCGTAGATGTTTTGTACATTCTCATAGCTCTCACATACCAAGAATATGCAGTCTCCAAGACTATTACTCTTTGCTATTAGTATCGTACCTCAAAGGAAATTGGAAGAAACCAAATTGGTACTTGGACTTTTAAAATCTCTAGCCAACACAAATTATCAAACCCAGGGGCGGACTGGGTACTTACGGGCCAGGTGGAATTGCATAGATTACGGGCCATTAAAGTATTAGTGTAGTAATGAAGGTGGGGGGGGGGGGGGGTAGCTCTGCGGTGCACCACAAAAACATGTTTTGCTTCATTTAATAGGTGCGGGGAAATCTGCAATTACCCAACAAGATCAGCCAACAACTTGTTTATACCTTCACATAGAACTACGCAAATGGGGAGAAGTCCGTTCATCACATGCATTAACTGTACAACACTGCCTAAACATTTAAAATCAATAACAAATCAAACATTTTAAAATGCGATGTCAAGTATCTTAAAGAAACAATGCTTCTACTCTATAGATGAATACCTGAGTACCCATGACAACATATATTTCTCAAATTTAATGTGATATTAGAAATTAAGCATAGCGACACTTTAATTTGTAATCTGTGATTTGTAAATTTAATTGTAGTAGTTAACTGTTTGTCTCATGGCTTCATATTCCATTATTGACAGTTCCATACATGTAATTATGTCAGAGAACGCAATTAAATATTATTATATTATTATTATTATTATTTTAAAGTACTCCTTTTTCGGAAATCAATTACAATACAGTTTTTTTTTAATTGCAGCTGATAATTAAAACTATTGATTGAGACGTCCGATCGAAAAAGTACGATTTGTTTTGGATTCTACGCACCAAAATTAATAAGAAAAAGTGTTTTCCAGAGAAATTTTGGTGCAGTCGATTTTTGGTAAAAAAGGAAGGTTATACTGCCTTTTTTTGAGCTCCGAAAAAAACATTGTCTCAGATCGACCCGGAAAAACAATTTCTTATAGAATGTGGCCTGTCCATAATTTCAAACAGTTCCAAAATTGGGCTACTAGTTCAAAAGTTACAGCCCTTTGAATTTTCTTTCGAAATTGGTTTCTAGTCCATAACTTTTGATTGAGAAGTCTGATCGAAAAAGTACGAATTGTTTTAGATTCTACGCACCAAAATTAATAAGAAAAAGTGTTTTCCCGAGAAATTTTGGTGCAGTCAATTTTTGGTAAAAAAAGGAAGGTTATACACTGCCTTTTTTGAGCCCCGAAAACAACATTTAATTTTTTAACAACCTAACATCAACCCCAATTAGAGAAACGTGTTAATAACTAATTAATAGTGCAAGAAACTAAATACAGCACATACTTATAAATTTCCAACGGGCCATTATCACGTACAGGCCAGGTGGCAATCGCCACCCGCTCCCCCGGGCCAGTTCGCCCCTGATCAAACCCAAAGAAATACCACTACAGATATTATTTCCGTAGAACATTCGCAGACCAAGGGATAGATTTTATTGGATGAAAAAGGCACGGTGGATGGAAGAGCAGTAATGTTGATGAAAATTGTATGTGTCAATGAGTCATTAGGTAAGTAACAAGATTAAATCCGCCCAGAAGATTTTATGTGGAACACTCCATCCTTTATAATCTTCGTTGAATCGTTGCCATTAAGAGAACCAGCTGTTATTTTATGCCGTAGTAATTCAAATTCAGTGTGAAGAATCGATAGACACTGTGATTTTCGATTGCCTATCTAACTAACTTGGTTGCTAAGCACCTGCTCTGATACCTTTACCGCCCTAGGCTGGTAAGTGGCGTAAGTGCACCTTACCGCCTTGAAAACAGTACGCACTCTTTCGATTTATTGAACGATAAATTGGACAATCAGATCGTTACGATTTATCGAAGCCAAGATCGTAGCGTCTAAACCGCGCTTTACGTACGTTATTGCGCTTGCTTGATGCTAGAAAGACATTGGAGTAGTACGTTAAACGCTCATTTCAAAGGCCTCGTGGATCCTTCGCGAAAAAATACATTGCCGTTTCCCTATGGTGCGTCCTTCCTAGGACACATTGTATAATAGGCTGTATATTAGTCGTATAAACAAATATTGGTTGTTGTTATTCCATCCTTCTTCTGTATACCTTCTTCACCAAGTTGGAATTATTATTTAATTCACATTACAGCCTACTGGCACTGGCACAATTATTAATCCTTGTTTACTAGAGTGAAAAATAGCAGAACAGAAGTGACGCCAAAGTTAATATTGCGCGCGTAACAGTTTTCAAACTTCGAATCAAAATGCGCAAGCGCGTAGCACTAAATCAATAGTTGGCATTCCTGATTCCCGATACATATTTATAACCTAAAATTAATAAATAAATAAAACAAATATGCTGGGAACACTAAAAATGTGTTACACTTGCCTGGAAATAAAGGATGACGAATTAATTGATGTTACAGCCTTAGACTTTGATAGCAGAACGTTTCTGTACAAGCTGCAAATGTGCGTTTCGTCCCATTTGGTGAGTGTTCGAGGCGAATTTGTTATACCTTTGTTTCATCCTTCGCTTTTAGGACGAACATAACTCTAAATTACTCTGCTCTGAATGTGTTAAACAGCTACGTGTTTCGTACAAATTTAGAGCCACAGTTTTGCTGTCGCAGGACATCTTAAATAAAAGGAAGAATGACCTATTACCCACTGTTTATGAGGGAGACCCGACCGATGTCTTATACAAAATAGCTGTTCATAGACAATTTTTTGGCTCACAGTGCCTTATCGTTAACGATCCTGTAGATTTAAACGACTTGAGGGAGACTGACAAAAACAAGGCTCCCGAACTGCCTAGCAACGAGGCAGCGTATTTCTTAGAATTGAAAAGTGAAAGTGCTGCACAAGTAGATGACATTCACAATTCACAGTTTACAATTGCAGATCTGATAAACAAATTTGAGTGTAGTAAATGTAACATTGTGGCTGACTCTGAGCACCACGATTGCTCGAAGTATAATGGTGGGTATAAATCAGCCAAAGAAATAAAAGTGAAACGTCGGCGAGTACGGGTAAAGAGGGAGTTGGCAGTACTAGAAGATGACATTACATACGAGTGCTATCATTGTGCGACAGTTTTTAACAAAAGGTGGAAATTACAAAAACACATCACTCGTGTACACACGAATGTTAAGAAGCACATTTGTCCGTACTGCGCAAAGAGCTTCAAACAATCCTACCATCTGCGAGAGCACTTGACCTCACATACCGGCGAACGCAACTACACCTGCTCCTATTGCGAAAAAACATTTCAACGAATTTCCTCATTGAAACGACACAGTCGCTCTCATGAGCGAGCACCTGGAGAAAAAACTAAAAAAACCCCATTCCTGTGTACGGTGTGCGGCAAAAACTTTCCTTTCTCCAATGGCGTGCAGCGGCATATGCGTACTCACTTAGGTATAAGAAATCACGAATGTACAGTTTGTCATAGGCGATTTACACAGTCCACCCACTTGCATGTACATATGCGAACCCACACGGGTGAAAAGCCCTACATTTGTGACACTTGCGGTGAGGCCTTTCCCCTGAATGCTAGCTTACAAAAACATATGGCAATACATAAAAGTAATAGTGATTGCGATCAATTGAAAATGAGTCCGAATTGCAATTAAGAATTTTGTAGGGGTAGGGATTGATATGGATTGCTTTTTTACATTGTTAAGTATTTATTGCAATTATTTGTTTAGTGGTAATTTAAATAAAAACAATTAAAAATGTGTTGGCGTTTTGTTTCTTCCAGCATTAAAAAGAAAAACCATATGGATAAACGTATTGACCCTTTCTATCTGAAAATGTGTTCCTCTTATTTTGCACTGATTCTACAAAGCCTCTTAATATTAGTGAAATAACTCGACTATGAAAATAAACAAGTTGTAAATCAGCCTATGCGTGATGAAAAAGCGCATTTTTGGTAATTCAGATCAGTATTTCATTAGCAAAGTTTAAAATTATCGATCTCACAAGAATCTAACTCAAAATAGACTAGAGCACGCACATCTACACTCCATCTGAAAGCTTTTAGGGAAAATTTGAAGTCTGGCTATTTGCTAGAGCTGAGATCTCAGTCGGACAGCCAGCCAGCCATAACGAATATAATAGCTTATTTTTGTCCAAAAATGCGCTAAAAACATCTGTAAGCAACCTCAACAGGAGAGATCATTGTTAGGTACTGATCCAAAATCATAAGAGGAGTGCATTCGTATATCAGGCTCCATAGAAAAAAAAGACAAACAGGTTTTCGCCTAGGCGAGTAACTTCAGAGCGTTTTACATGAATTCATCAGTACTTCCTGAAATGTCAAGTAATAATAATATATTTGCTGTCAGGAGATCAATAACATTGATATTGACAAAGTCACATTAACATTATGGTATGATATACAGGCTGTTTCACGCAAATCGTTACCTAAAAGTATTCCATTAATAATTTAAATCTAAAAATTTGCATACCAACATAGTTTTTCATGATCTATCGAATGAATAGAAACTTTCTTATTTTAAATAGAACACCCTGTATTTTATTGCATTTTCGAAATCTACATGAAAATGTACCTCGTTTGATATACCACATTTACCTATACCCAGCATCAAAGGTATTCAAGTTCTTCAAAATTTTTGACGTTTGACTGCTTTTCTGTAGGGTCCTGTACTGTAGGTACCTACCTATGACTCTGGTGACTTGAATTTCAAAAAGTCTTCCAAAATCAACAATACTCACTTGATGCTACATGAAAATGATTTAGATTTTGATCGCTCTTCTACTAATAGTCAGAGCTGGGCAGTATTCGATTTTGTAAATACTTTTTAGTATTCAAATACTTTGTAATTAAATACTTTTATGGAAGCAGTATTTGTATTTGTAACTCAAATACTTTCGCAAATATTTAGTATTCGAATACTTTGCAAAGTACTTGAATACTTCGTAAAGTATTCGAATACTTGGCAAGGTATTTGAATACTTTGCGAAGTAGGTATTCGAATACTTCGCATAGTATTTGAATACTTTTAAGTTATTCAAATATTTGAGAACTATTTAGAAATGTTTAGAGGAAGTTATTTCCATGATCATAAAATCAAATATAAAAATCCGATACAACTGAATACCGAACGATCCTGGAGTGAAACTTTTTGACCCGATAGTCTACGTAACTTAAAAATAATAGCGACCTTTCTTATATCCTTAAGACCATGTGTACCTATTTTCAAAGCGATCGCACGTTTCTAAACATGTTATCATGCACACGGACAGACGGACGGACAAAAAAGGATCTGTTTCAAAATCGCTACGATTAATTTTAGAAAGGTGTAGGTACGTGTCATATGCACGATGTACGATCGCTTTGAAAACTGGTACACGTATTCTTAAGGATATAACTGATATAAGAAAGGCCCTGGTAACTCCTATATAATAATAATAATACGCATTTACTCCCCTTAAATTTGTATATAACAATAGAAATATAAAAAAAAGCTAACCTCAGGGAAAGGAACTACGTTCAGCGCACAAAACGCTGTTTTTCCATGTAGCCCCCATACAAAGTATAACTTGACATTTTTTAAATAGTATTAAGACTTTTATCTAGTACTATTTGAAATTTGTAATGTATTTGAGTGACAGGTAGGTATTTGAATACTCTTTATAGTATTCGAATACCTTTGATAGTATTAGAATTTAGAATACCTACTTTTGAAAGTATTCGAATGCCTTTGAAAGTATTCGAAAAATTGTCGTTGAATTAGGTACTTATTTTTGAAAGTATCTGAATACCTTTCAAAGTATCTGTATTTAGTATTTGCTTGTGCTGGATGTAAAAGTATTTAGTATTCAAATATACTTTTGATTTATCTAAAGTATTTACTATTTAGTATTCAAATACCTTTTGAAAGTATGCCCAGCTCTGCTAATAGTAAATCTTAATAATTTCCAACCTTAAAAGTTGGTTTTTCAAATTAAACCTGCTTTATTTTTTTGCACTTTCAAATATCGAAAAAAATTCTACATCGATCAAGTATTACATTCCCTATACCTATCTGTTCTGTTTTTCGTTTTATTTAAGATTTTCTAATATTGTGCCCTTATGTGAATAATTTTCTTAGGAGGCCTTGAAATACGCGTTAGTCATATTAGTAGATGTCACTGTACCATGCTGGGAAATATTACCTGAGGAAAACTACTGGTTTCAACTTTCCAACGGAGCGTCGGATCATTCATTTTTGAAGACGGATAGATTAGGTCTACAGATCCGCGCTATTGGTCTTCTAGATTTCCAGATATAACGCCATTGGGCTTTTATGTATATAGGGTCTTATAAAAAACAAAGTTTATTTTACACCAGTTGTTTCTCGCGAAGAACTGGAAGTTAGGTGAAGAGAGCGTTTGATGAAATATAGGTAGTAGGAATTCGATAGAGGAGTTAATCAGAGTAGGCTAATAATGTATTGAAAAAAACGGTGGATACGTATAACAAAACCTCAATTGATGTTTGTTTTTTTTATTTTCTTGTTTATTATGACCTCTTCCTGCTTTTGATTTCATCTTCATTTAATTTTCTATTCATTAAAGTAAATAGGATTTTTTAATATTTAGTGATATAAACTGTCATGGACAACGAATGTTAACAATTATAACTATAAAAACATTTGTCTGACAGATATGGTAACGCGTTTATTTCAAGGCCTCCTATGAAAATTATGTATATCAGTGGCCATTTAAGAAAATCTAAAAGAAAACGAAAAGCATAACAGATGAAAAAATTTTTTCAGGTTTCATTTGAAAAAATCAACTTTTTAAGGTTTGAAGTTATAAAAATTTACCATCAGTTTAAACACCCTATAGAAGGGCGATGATAATTTAAATCATTCGTAGCATCACGTCAGTATTGTTAATTTTACAAGGCTTTTTGAAATCCAAGTCAAAGGCGCCATTTAGGTACAGGGTGCTAAAGAAAAGCAGTCGTTTGAAACGTCTGAATACTTTTAGAGAGACTTTTAGGTAACGGTTTGCCTGTATAGATGTTGTTTAAAACTAAAACACAAACACGTAGGTAAACTAACAAACAATCAAGTATCTCAATTTATATCCGGTATATGGCTGAGTTCGTGCTTAATTTGCGTTCAAAAAAATATTATAAACCTAGAAGTACGTATGATCGTAACTTTAATTAAAGCATTGTATGAATTTACTAAAGAAAATGTCGAATGGCTATCAAATAACTTTTTGGGTGTAGAATCAGAAGAAACAAGAAGTGGTGCTATATGAAACACTGATAAAATGAAAATATTATTGAGATGTGTAGGTGATCAGGGGTTTCAAACAGCAGTAGGAAAAGATATTGGTTTTCACCAAACTTCTGTTTCTCAACTTGTGACGCACTGACTTGTTACATGCTATTTTATGATTCACAAAAGCTCCCATTGTTTTTTCATCCCTTCGAGTGCTTTAGATTTTGATAGTCTCACAAACGCTGCTTGTAACCTGGGCAAAAGTATGGGAAAATCACGTAACATATGCACAAATTCCATTTGGGATTCGCAACTTTCATTACTTTCTTCTTCACTGCTTCATCAAATCGAGATATTTTTATTCACAGTATTTATGGAGGAAATAATAAAACGAGTGTCATCGGAAATTTAAAGAGCTCTAGTGATGGGACACAGATCCAAAGAGTTAAAGTAACAGAGTGCTCGTTCGCAGACGATATTTTTATAATGGCAGGAAGGGCGAATGGTCTGCAACATAATTGGAATATAAGGAATGCATGTCTGAAAAGATGAGGAATGAAACTTAATAAATGCTTCGTAGATACTTCATTATTTCCTGGCCAATAATGTGTCATTTTCCTGACTTTTGTGTAAATAACTTATAAATTATAATACATAAAAATTGCCTTTCAACAACAAGCATTTCAGGTACAAAAGGGACACAGACGCAAATTGACAGCCTCACCCCTTACCTATGGGGTACATTCCTTCACACACGCTGAATAAATTTAGTTCTGCCACATATTTTGCTGAACATTTTGGGGTTTAGCCACGTTCCGCTAAATATTAATTAAAGCTAATAGTGAATTTCTTTAAGATAACTGTTTGAATGCTAATTTTTTTAATTCAATTGATAAAGACAATCATAATTACATCTATTACATCCAAACACATGGAATTCTAAGAGAATGTTTATTTTAATTGATATTTGGGGTCAGGCACAAAGTGGACCCAAATGTCAATAAAAATAAACAAGTTCGGATTCTTAAATGCAACAAGTTGAATGTGTCCAGAACAAGCTGTTTCTTGAAAGCTAAACCCTGCACAAGATACACCAAATTATAACATTAAGCAATCGCATCATCGTTGCGATTTTTCCGTGATAGAAGTAAAGAGGTACATACAGTGTGATAAATTGCAACTCAGAGTACCTAGTTGATTCGTCTGATGTTTCGAATAAATTTTGTAATCAAATTATGGTTATATAAAATAAGGAGGAATTCTTGGTAATGTTTGGGAATACTCGTGAATATACTGATGCTGTAAAAAGTCGGTTTCTTATAATAGAAACGGCTACTCACCAAGTAATTTGCTCGAGTACTATAAGCTAACATTTATTTAATACACATACATACATACATACATATTTCTTGATTATATATACATACAGTTTTACCATTGAGTAATTAAATATCTCAACGGTTTTACTATAAATATAGTACCGAGAATAGTACCTA